TACAATTTGGTATGTTTTTGCAGTGGCTGGTTCCGTGTTTTGCTTTCCATATTTAGTGCCTCCTTCAGGTGCTCTTGTAAGGTAGACCTGGTGGTGACAAAATCGGGTTCCGGGTTTTGCTTTCCATATTTAGTGCTTCCTTCGGGTGCTCTTGTAAGGCAGTCCTGGTGGTGACAGAATCTCTCAGCATTTGCTTGTCTGTGAAGAATTTTATTTTTCTTTCACTTACGAAGCTTAATTTTTCAGGATATTAAATTCTGGTTTGAAAGTTCTTCAAGAATGCTGAATATTGGCCTCATTCCCCTCTGGCTTGTAAGGTTTCTACAGAGAGATCCACTGTTAGTCTGATGGGCTTCCCTTTGTGGGTAACCCGACCTTTCTCTCTGGCTGCCCTTAACAATTTTTTCTGCATTTCAACCTTGGTTTATCTGATGATTGTGTGTCTTGGGGTTGCTCTTCTCGAGGGGTATGTTGGTGGTGTTCTCTTTATTTCCTTAATTTGAATGTTGGCCTGTCTTACTAGGTTGGGGAAGTTCTCCGGGATAATATCCTGCAGAGTGTTTTCCAATTTGGTTTCATTCTCCTCATCACTTTCGGGTATACCAACCAAATGTGGGTTTGGTCTTTTCACGTAGTCCCATATTTTTGGAGGGTTTGTTTGTTCCTTTTCATTCTCTTTTCTGTAATCTTGTCCTTACGCTTTATTGCATTATGTTGATCTTCACTCTCTGATATCCTTTCTTCTGCTTGATGGATTTGACTGTTGATACTTGTGTATGCTTCACGAAGTTCTTGTGCTGTGTTTTTCAGCTCCATCAGGTCATTTATGTTCTTCTCTAAACTGATTGTTCTATTTAGCAATTTGTTTTACCTTTTTTCAAGGTTCTTTGCTTCCTTGGATTGGGTTAGAAAATGCTCCTTTAGCTTGGAGGAGTTTGTTATTACCCACCTTCTGAAGCCTTACTTCTGTCAATTTGAGAAACTCATTCTCTGTGCAGTTTTGTTTTCTTGCTGGCATGGAGTTGTGATCCTTTGGAGGAGAAGAGGCATTCTGGTTTTTGGAATTTTCAGCCATTTTTGGACTGGTTTTTCCTATCTTCGTGGATTTATCTACCTTTGGTCTTTGATGTTGTTGGCCTTCAGATGGGGTTTTTGTGTGGACGTCTTTTTGTTGATGTTGATGCTATTCCTTTCCGTTCGTTAGTTTCCTTCTAACGGGCCCCTCTGCTGCAGGTCTGCAGGAGTTTCCTGGAGGTTCACTCCAGATGCTGTTAGGCTGGGTATCACCAGTGGAGGCGGCAGAGCAGCAAAGATTGCTGCCTGTTCCTTCTTCTGGAAGCTTTGTCCAGAAGGGCACCCGCCTGATGCCAACCAGCGCTCTCCTGTATGAGATGTCTGTCAACTCCTGCTGAGGAGTAAGTCTGTCCCTTACTTAGTAGAGCTCGAGTGCCATGCTGGGAGATGTGCTGCTCCCTTCAGAGCTGGCAGGCAGGAACGTTTAAGTCTGCTGAACCTGCCTCCACAGCCATCCCTTCCCTCAGGTTCTGTGTCCCGGCGAGAGGGGAGTTTTATCTATAAGCCCCTGACTGGGGCTGCTGCCTTTCTTTCAGAGATGCCCTACCTAGAGAGCAGGAATCTAGAGAGGCAATCTGGCTATGGAGGCTTTGAGGCACTGCAGTGGGCTCTGCCCACGTTGAACTTCCCAGCAGTTTTGTTCACGCTCTGAGGGGAAAACTGCCTCAGTAATGGGAGATGCTTGTCCTCCCACCAAGCTTGAGCATCCCAGGTTGACTTCAGACTGCTGTGCTGGCAACAAGAATTTCAAGCCAGTGGATTTTAGCTTGCTGGGCTCCATGGGGATGGGATCTGCTGAGCTAGCCCACTTGGCTCCCTGGCTTCAGCCCCTCTTCCAGGGGAGTGAATGGTTCTGTCTCGCTGGTGTTCCAGGCGCCACTGGGGTAGAAAAACTTTTGTGGCTTGCTCAGTGTCTGCCCAAATGCACCCAGTTTTATGCTTGAAACCCAGGGCCCTGGCACCCGAGGGAATCTCCTGGTCTGCGGGTTGCAAAGACTATGGGAAAAGCTTAGTAACTTGGCGGGAATGCACTCTTCCTTATGGCACAGTCCGTCATGGCTTCCCTTGGCTAGGGGAGGGAGTTCCCCCACTCCTTGTGCTTCGCAGGTGAGGCAACACCCCACCCTGCTTTGGCTCTCTGTGGGCTGCACCCACTGTGTAACCAGTCCCAATGAGATAAGCTCGGTTCCTGAGTTGGAAATGTAGAAATCACCCGCCTTCTGCATTGATCTCGCTGGCAGCTGCAGACCAGAGCTGTTCCTCTTTGGCCATTTTGCCAGCCACCCACCAAATCTATGATTTCTGAGAGTTCATAGAAGTGACGCTGATGAAATTTAAACATGTTGCCAGGTTTCGGCAATTCTTACAGCTTTTCTTAACTTCCCCTTTGACCTTCATAGACTGCAGTTTTTATTTTCGGTTTTCAAAGTCTTTTTTTATTTTTTTCCTTTTTTTGAGCCGGATTTTTGCTCTGTTGCCCAGGCTGTAGCGTAGTGGTGTAATCCTGGCTCACTGCAGCTTCTGCCTCCAGGGTTCAAGAATTTCTCCTGCCTCAGCCTCCCGGGTAGCTAGGACTACAGGTGTACGCCACCACAGCCAGCTGATTTTTGTATTTTCGGTAGAGACAGGGTTTCACCATGTTGGTAAGGCTGGTCGTGAACTCCTAATCTCGTGATCTGCCCACCTCGGCCTCCTGAAGTGCTGGGATTACGCCACCACGGCTGCCCCAAGTACAGTTTTTGACCTTCAAGAGGTGTCAGCTTCTCAATGATAGGAACTCTTTTCATATTTGAATTCTCAGTGCCTGGAATGTAGTCAGTGAATGAGTGAATGCATGAATGTCTCTTGTTGGACCCCACCCCCGACCCTGTTTCTGTTTCCTTCCCATTTCTAGGTGAGTTTCAGTAAAACCTGGAGTATTATGTGAAAGGGGAGTCTTACAGTTCCTTCGAATTAAAAAGCAAATTAAACCAAAAGCATCAAGGGAGTAGAATGTATTTATTTTCCTACCAAACAAAAGAAAATTGCTTTTATTTGCATTTACCTCTTGATTTAATTTTGTACATTCTTGCTATAAATAGACTTTGATAGGAAGGCCTTTTATTGTTCTTGTAGGTGGTTTTATTTTGCTTCCCATATTTCTTTCCCCTTTTCAAATTTTCTTGCTTATGAATTCTCGAGAATTGACACATAGATGCTTGAAACTCATGAGGTACCTAGAAAGGGAATTAAGACAGCTTAGTAACTAAGAGAATGTTTCATTTCTGTGGGAACAAACTGTGTTTTGCTTTATTAGGTTTGTTTAAATTACAGTATACCAGGTAAGGATGAGCTTAACTGTCTTTATCCCTGACATAATGTATAATAAACCTAGTTTTTCCAATTAGAGGGATACCTGTATTTTTGCTTCCCAGTGTACACCCAGTGTGCCACCAGAATTATGTGTGTGCCACGTCACCACCCCCAAACCAAACCACACCAAACCATCTGGCTTTTTTTCTGCCAGGCCACTCCTCTATAACCCAGTTCCTTCTTTACTTACCAGTATATATGTTGACTTAATAAATTGCTTCTGTGAAAGGAGTGATACCTTTCTAATCTGCCAATTAAAACAAATTTAGAATATGTAGTTTCCCATAAAGGTAACATGGCAGGGCCTCAATTAGCGTTATGTGAAAATGTAGCATAACAGTTAGACTTTTCCTATGGTAACATCTACATGTTACAGAAATGTGAAAACGTATGCATACACAAAACACCCTATCTACCAAGAAAATAAGAAGCTTGTTATCTGCATATTAACTTTTCCCCTTTCTCATCTGTTACTAAGCTAAATCCTTGCCAGAAATCTAGATTGTCAGTAGTTGTCAGTACTTCGGTTGTCGTTTTGGCTTGGCCTCAGCAGACTCCACCAACGGTCTCTCTGCTTATATTCAACCAAGTGTCATTCACTGTTTTTATTTTGAATTAACAGTCATCTTTGTCAAACATCACCTGAGGGGCCCATCTACAAATCTGCAAATTGTTTATGTACTATGGACCCAGGATTTTTCATTTAGTCTGTACAATTTAGGCAATGGTTTTATCTTTGTTAGTAATGCTTTTCATATTTTCGGCTTATCTTTCAGTCAGGACTTTGGGAGTGGTGAATTAAGAGATAGATTTAAATTTCTTCATGTTTAATTTGGGCTTTGTTTTTGCATATTTTTTTGCTTTAATGTTTGATTATACTAATTCTGTAGAAGAAAAATAAAAATCTCTGGATGGAAAAATGCAAATGTGTTATAATGAGGTTATGGTGCTGGCCTCAGTTTTTTTTTTTTTTTTTTTTTTTTTTTGAGTGAGAGTTTTGCTCTTGTTGCCCAGGCGGGAGTGCAATGGCACGATCTTCGGCTATAATTGCAACCTCCGTCTCCTGGGTTCCAGCAATTCTGCTGCCTCAGCCTCCCGAGTAGCTGGGACTACAGGTGCCCACCACCACACCGAGCTAACTCTTGTCGTTGGAGTAGAGATGGGGTTTCGCCACGTTGGCCAGCCTGGTCTTGAACTCCTGACCTCAGGTGATCTGCCCACCTTGGCCTCCCAAAGTACTGGAATTACAGGCCTGAGGCACCACACCCGGCCCTGGCTACAATTTTACAATACATACTTAGATCAATTTTAGGGGGCTTTGGTTTGATAGATTGAGAAAATAATTGGTCTATAAAAATTGACATTTAAAATTCATGGATGTTAATTATGATTTGGAGGTTAGAAACAAAAGTTAAAAGGTTAACAGGCTATATTTAAAATCTACATATTTCTAAAAATAAGAACAATTTACAACCATGTGCAAATTAAATTTTTTTCAAATTAGAAACTAAATTGTGACAGCGTAATGTTAACCTTTTTGCATTTTATTTATTAATTTCTTTTTTAAATTGTAGTTTCAGTCTGATGGAAGCAAACAAGAAGATAAAGAAAAAGCGGTAAGAGATTAGAAAAATCCAATAATGTGTCTAATGTTAGGCTTGGTACAGTATACTACAAGTTTTACTGTGAACAAGCTTTAATTATCTGAGTAATTGTTTTATACTGTAGATGCTGATTATAGCTTTTGGCAGCTTATGCAAAGTTATCTTTTAAGATTAACATTTCTTTCCCCTGAGGATCAGTATATTGAAAAAGGAAGAGAGATAAAAGTTCATCATTCCTTTGCTACCCCTTTCTTTATCCCATTGATGTCTTAGATGAAGAAACATAGATAAGCATTGTGAAAAGGTTGGGTGAGGAATGGGATATTGTGTGTTATGAGATTAAGAAATGGTAATTTTCCCAAGGCTGTCATAAATTTATTGTTGGATCCTATTAATATGGGCCTCTTACTGAAATAACTTTTCCTTTTTTCTTTTAGGAAGTTATCCTTAGCTGCTTGCTTAGCATTACTGACCAGGTACTACTTCCATCTCTTTCTCTGATGGACTGCAATGCCTGTATGTCTGAGGAACTATGGGGAATGTTTAAAACATTTCCATATCAGCATAGGTAAATACATATTATTTTCGTATTTTAAACTACTAGTAATTCTAGTATGCTAACCTCTAAGTGTTTAACTTTCCCTAATTCTTCATCTCATCATTTTTTAAGATACCGTCTGTATGGCCAGTGGAAGAATGAAACTTATAACAGCCACCCACTTTTAGTAAAAGTTAAGGCTCAAACAATAGACAGAGCCAAATATATCATGAAGTAAGTTTTTATTTATTTATTTCTTATATTAATCTAATTTATTTCTGGCTCTGATTTACTTTCTTTCCGCTAGCTCATCTGAGCCTCATTTTTGAGAAAGCCTATGTGTTGTGAGTGGTATAGCTGATTTATGTACTATAGACAGAATGACTATTAATTGTGGTTTTAGCTATATTTTTGACTACCAAGTTTTCATTGTTGTCATGTTTGCATATGGATAAAAATCTAATGAAAATCCCTTTTAATGCATGCATCATATTATAGGATGAGAGTTTTGTTTTGTTTTTTCCTAAGGACAGCCTGCTGTGGTCTTTGCTCAATACATTTAGTGATTTGTGCAAGATAGTCAAAGTTCTAGCAATTTCTTCTGCTGAAAGTTACCATAATATTTTTAATCTGTTAGGAAGAACTAATGCAATTATGCAGAATTATTTCCATAGGGAGTCAACTTTTGAGAAATTAAAAATATATATATATTGTATGCTTTTATTTTCATATCATTAAAAATATGAGTGATGTTCTACTTCCCAGTAGATTATTTGAAGTTTAATTATGAAAATCATATACTTCAGATTAGTATCAGTTTAGATACTTAATTACACTGCTGTATTGAAAGTGTTTTCAACGAGGGTAATGTCAGTTGCCATTCCTTTTGTAAATTCATAGCAGTGGTATGGTTACTCTAATTAAAAGTAGTTCGATTTCTAGTTTATCTATATTTAACAGTGTGTAATGTCTGTTAAATGCTGTCCTTGCCCAGTGATAATGTTTCTGGTCACAGTCTACTGGGAAAACAGACATGTGCATAATTACAATCTAGTTTTTTTTTTTTTTTTCTGTGAGCGTATGGATTATATTGAAACAATCTAGTACAATAGGTGCTGTTACATAGGATGAATAAAGTGCTGTGGGAGGATAGATGAGAGTAAATGATTTTACTTGGGGGATTTTTGGCAGGAGACGATATTAGATATGAAAGAGTTTCTGGACTAAAGAGTTCTCCAGGTACAGTTTCTAGCTTAACCACAACAGCTAATATTTAGGGAGCTATTACTATACGTGCCCAGTATTAAGCTAAGTGCTCTACATGGATTGTTTGATAATAATATTTAAGCATTATTGAATCCCTTGAATCTGTCTCATCTACGATCCCTACCACCAGTACCTTAGTTCTTTTATCTGGTGCATTACAGTGATTTGTATATTCTCATACTAAAAATCATTTGGTGACTGACTTTACCTGAAGGTTTATGTTAAGCTTTATGACATAGTGGTTGTCCCTGATTTGTCTCTCCCTGCATCTAACCTCCTTTCCTGCCAATTCTACTTCCAGATGTACTGAGTCTACTTATGTTTCCCTGACTGTACCACTGTCTCCTTAGCTTTCTTCCCTTGTGTGTCCTTTTTGTTTCCTCTGTTTGTACAGGTCTTCCCTTCCCTTCCTTTCCCGCTTTCCCTCTGGTGACCTCATTCTTGGAGAGTGAGCTCCAGTGTTACTTCCAGTGAAGGCTCCCCTAGCATATACTGCCAAACACAATGGATCTTTATTTCCACCACTATTCTTTGTTCATATAGTGTTATCATACCTGTAGGTACATTGCTGCATTGCTATTATTATTTTTCTTTTTTAACTATCTAATATTTTGAAGAGTTTATATGATTACATGGTTTAAATTTCAGTAAATAAGGTATACAATACATACAGCAGAAAGTCTCACCCCATCCTACAGCTACTCAGTTCTTCCCCCCACCCCGTAAAAAGTAGCCATTATTTAGTCTGTTATATATCCTTCCAGATATTTTTATGTACATACATGCCAATACAAATATATTATCCCCCTCTTCTTCTTATTATTATCATTATGTTAATATTGTTTATTCCTTGTGAAGTTGGGACCTCACTCTGTTGCCCAGGCGGGTTTCAAACTCCTGGCCTCAAGTTATCCTTCCACCTTGATCTCCCAGTGTTTGGGTTACAGATAGGAGCCACTACATCCCAGCCACCTTTTATTTATTTATTTTTATTTGTTTGTTTGCTTATTTCTTTATTTTTGAGATGGAGTCATGCTTTGTCACCCAGGCTGGAGTGCAGTGGCACGATCTTGGCTCACTGCAAACTCCGCCTCCCGGATTCAAGCAGTTCTCTGCCTCAGCCTCCCAAGTAGCTGGGATTACAGCCGCTACCATGCCTGGGTAATTTTTGTATTTTTGGTAGAGATGGAGTTTCATCATCTTGGCCAGGCTTGTCTTGATCTCCTGACCTTGTGACCCACCCGCCTTGGCCTCCTAAAGTGCTGGGATAATAGGCGTGAGCCACTGCACCCAGCCTCATCCTTGTATTTCCATGCTTGACCTTAGCCAGAAGACTGATACACAGTCGTCCTTGTATTTCTAATGCTTAGTCCTTTGACTGTCATCGTAGGCATTAATATGAATGAATGAATGAATAAAATATAATTTACTATAGAATAATATGTGCAGAATTTTTAATATATTTGGATTTTTGTTATATTTGTAACTATTTTACCAGGCTTAAACAACACGATTTGTTACTGTTCAGAGTTTTTAGATTGAGCATATAATGTATTAATTTATCACTTGAAGAATTTTGTGAGTTTTGAATACCATTTAAAACGAGCTTGCTATAGGGCATTTAATAATTCTCTCCTTGTTTTTTTTTTGAGACCGAGTTTCACTCTTGTTACCCAGGCTGGAGTGCAATGGCGCCATCTCGGCTCACTGCAACCTCTGCCTCCTGGGTTCAGGCAATTCTTCTGCCTCCGCCTCCTTAGTAGCTGGGATTACAAGCATGGGCCACCATGCCCAGCTAATTTTTTTGTATTTTTAGTAGAGGCGGGGTTTCACCATGTGGACCAGGATGGTCTCGATCTCTTGACCTCGTGATCCACCCGCCTCGGCCCCCCAAAGTGTTGGGATTACAGGTGTGAGCTAATAATTCTTTCTACAAATATTTATGGTATTCCATATGGCAGACACTGGTAGCCTGAGGAGAAGGCAAAGACAAGAAAATATTTCTTTCTTTTTTTTTTTGTTTTGTTTTGTTTTGTTTGTCTCTCCAGGGGATGGAGGCAGAAGGGAATGGAATAAAAAACAGAGAGGAGGGGTTGGCCTTGGCAAGTAGAGGGTAGGGATCTGAAATACTGGGGTTAGAAATAGGGAGGGACAGGTAGTGATAAGTTGCAAGTTTGAACAAAATGCTGTATAGCTAACGTTTAGTGGTCTCTCTTTCTGTGAAACAGAAGAAACTGGGATATGGAGAGCTGGAAAGAGAAACAGTTGACGATGAAATAATTTTGATTGATGGGGCCAGTTTTGTCATAAGAAATTAATTATAGCAAGTTTGTGACTTGGAGAATGGTCACATTTCCTGAATTGTAAACTGAATTTATAATTTACTTCATTATATTTTCATCCTAGAAAGCTTCCTTACTGTCACTAGTAGCCATTTCAAGTCTCTACATTTATTATGTATTAATCTCATCACAGGCATTTAGGATTCGGTGTAATAATTGTTTTGAACTGTAATAATTCATAGATATAAATTTGAATAATGAGCAAAGGAAGAAATAAAAAGAAAGGAGTAGAATTTAGCTTCAAACTAATTGTTTTCCTTGACTATGAAAAGCAAATAACTTTACATATTGAGGAATGCAGCATGAGCTATTACTCTGTTCAAGTCACTGAGCCAGATGGCATGAGGCATTTCATTGCATGACACCAAATTTGATCTCTTAATCCCTAAACTGATAAATGAGTCCTCCTAAATCTGAAATAATTTTGATCGTTTGTAAGAGGAGTTATATGTACTTATAGAGTACATTAAGAGTTTTACTGATTATTAGACTATTACTATAAAGTTGAAATGTGTATTTTGTAAATGGTAAGCATTTAATATAAAGTCTCAATACTCTCGGGGAGAATCTCTAACCAAAATAGCCCAAACCCTGCCATAAAGGATATGATGAATGTGGTCATTTACATGAATCCATTTTGAATAGTTGGGGAATAATTGGTTTTTTCCTCCACTATGATGTAACACAGCCATCTGCATTACAAGGAATGTTACTTAAGATGATCCCTGCCACCTGTTTCTTCCTTTGTAGGCGCCTAACGAAGGAAAATGTGGAGGCTTCTGGAAGACAAATTGGGAAGCTGAGCCACAGCAATCCAGCTATTTTGTTTGATTATGTATGTTTTGAGGTTAATATTATTTTAAGGGATTTTTCTTTTTGTTGTCTTTAAATCAGCATGAGTGGAAGTTAGAAAATGTAGTATTGTAAGGTTATGCTAAAAAGAAAATTATTTAACACATGGTGTATTTAACACATTGATCTATATTTTCTATTAATAGTAGACAGTATAAGCTTATTTTGTACACCACATTGTGATTTCTAGAAGCCTTACTTGTTGAATTTAGTTTTTAGAAACATTCAAATAACATTTCATTGTGATTGATACATAATACTAGTACTTAAATATTTAGACATTTCTTTTTTTTTTTTTTTTTTTTGAGATGAAATCTTGCTCTTGTCACCCAGGCTGGAGTGCAGCAGTGGCATGATTTCAGCTCACCACAACCTGCACCTCCTGGGTTCAAGCAATTCTCCCACCTCAGCCTCCTGAGTACTTGGGATTATAGGTGTGTGCCACTGCACACACGGCTAATTTTTTTTTGTATTTTTCGTAGAGAAGGGGTTTCACCATGTTGGCCAGGCTGGTCTTGAACTCCTGACTTTGGGTATTCTGCCTGCTTTGGCCTTCTAAAGTGCTAGAATTAATAGGCATGAGCCACCACGCCTAGCCAATATTTAGAGATTTCTAAAACACATGAGAGAGACTATACTCTTTCATTCCAGAATTCAGTTTTGGACCAACTGGAATGATTTCCTTTTTTAACTTTTCCTTTAAGCTTCAGGGGGTACATGTGCAGGTTTATTACATGTATATATTGCATAATGCTGGGGTTGGGGCTTCTATTGAACCCTTCACCAAATAGTGAGCATAGTACCCAATAGGTAGTTTTCAAACCTTGCCCCACTGCCCCCCTTACTTTCAGAGTCCCCAGTGTCTTTCTGTCTTTATGTGCGTGCATACCCATAGTAAAGTTTCAGGATACAAAATTAACATACAAAAATCAGTAACATTCTACACACCAAATAATGTTCATGTTCAAGTTGAAAACCAAATCAAGAGCACAACCTATTAACAGTAGCCACAAAAAAGGTACCAGGAGATACATCTAACCAAGAGGTGAAAGATTTCTACTAGAACTATAAATCACTGATGATAGAAATCATAGTAATACAAGCAAATGGAAAGACATTTCATGCTCTTGGATTGGAAGAATCAATATAGTTAAAATATTCCATGCTGCCCAAAAGAATCTGCAGATTCATTGCAATTCCAAATTACCACTGTCATTTTTTTCATAGAATTGGGATTTTTTTCCTAACTGAAAAATGTAGCCTAAGAAAATGTTCTCTAAGGCAATGACACAATAGTAATTTCTGTATAAATATGAAGTGATCGGAAACCACTTTAATTATAAACATTATTTCTTTTGAAAAATGAAGCGTAGCTGTTACTTAGTTGGTACAGTAGAAATCCTCTGATTAGTTAATGCCTTCTATTGTTTGTCGCCATTTTCCAGATCTTGTCGCAAATACAGAAGTATGATAACTTAGTAACACCTGTAGTAGTTTCATTGAAATACCTCACTTCATTGAATTATGATGTTTTGGCCTGTATCCTTTAAATTGAAGTAATATGTAGATTTCATATTTAATATATAGTGTGGTAAATGTTTTATTTTCATTCTGTTTTCCTTTAGTAACCATCTGAGGTTGATTCAGATGGCTGATCTGAAGTTTGATCAGTCTGTGTGTGTGTGTGTGTGTGTGTGTGTGTGTGTGTGTGTGTCTGTTTGTCTTTGTGTTGTATAAAGGGAGACATGTTAGGCTCACCAAGCATTGTTTTTTTTTTTTTTTTTGTGAGACAGAGTTTTGCTCTGTCACCCACACTGGAGTGCAGTGGCACGATCTCAGCTCACTGCAACCTCTCCTCCCGGGTTCAAGCAAGCCTCAGCTTCCCAAGTATCTGGGATTACAGGCGTGTGCCACCGCACTTGGCTAATTTTGTGTTTTTAGTAGAGATGGGGTTTCGCCAGGTTGGCCAGTGTGATGTCGAACACCTGACCTCAAGTGATCCACCCACCTTGGTCTCCCAAAGTGCATGAGCCACTGTACCCAGGTGGCTTACCAGACATCTTGTTATTGATGGAATCTATCTTGATTGCTGAAAGATGGAAAGGAGGCTAAAGAAGAGATGTTGGTACTACAGTGAGTGTATTTTTCAGTAATTTGTTTTAGCAACATCCCTGGTCTTAAAAAAAAAAAAAAAAAAAAAAAAAAAAAAAAAAAAAAAGAACAGTAATTTGTAACGACCAACAGTTTTGCCCCTAAGATGTGGCATATTTGTTTTAAGGGTCTTTATTAGAGATGTAATGACTTAGTTTTTTTCTTAATATATGAAAGATTGTATCATTGAAGCTTTAGCTAATCCAGAAAAGGAAAGAATGAAACATGATGACACAACCATCTCAAGCTGGCTTCAGAGTAAGTATTTTATTTTTTGAAAGATGAAATTATCATCTGTGGTAACTGCCATGTTATGTATTTATTATCTATGCGTAGAGACTTTTATAAGCCTATTTGTCAAGAGTTGTTGAGAATATCCAGCTACTAAGCTCGTTCTTTAGAGCCCTCGGCTATGTAAGGAGGTTGATACAGTTCTTATTTATTTTCCTAACTTGATAGACCGTTATTGACTCTGCTATCAGAGTCAATTTGGATAAGCATTACTGGTGAGGTAAAATCTCCTTCATTTTATTTTATTTTAAATTTATTTTATTGTTTTGAGACGAGGTCTCACTCTGTGGTCCAGGCTAGAGTGCAGTGGTGCTATCTCAGCTCACTGCAGCCTCTGCTTCCCAGGTTCTAGTACCTCTCCTGCCTCGGCCTTCTGAGTAGCTGGGATTACAGGTATGTGTCACCACACCCAGCTAATTTTTGTATTGTCAGTTGAGATGGGGTTTCACTATGTTGGCCAGGCCAGTCTTGAACTCCTGACCTTAAGTGATCTGCCTACCTCGGCCTCCCAAAGTGCTGGGATAACCGCGAGCCACTGCACCTAGCTGAAAATCTCCTTTCTAACTAACATTATTTTATAGAAGTTGATCTTACGGGAGTTAGTCTCATTTCTTCCCATTCCATCCTGAGGTTCCAGTCATCTTAAAAGAGCAAAAACTTGACTTAGTTTAACCAAAAAAACTAACCACATTTCTTTTAAATTGTTGTACCTTTGGTTTCTAGCAGCCAGTTCCCTTCCTTTCGACTTATTGTATCTGATAGTGGAGTCTTGCAGTGGCTCCCCATTGTCCTTTAAAGTCCGAAATGTTTAATAAGTCATACAAGTAAGTTCTTTTGAAGTCAGGTCCTTTTGCACTATTCTAGCCTCATCTTTTCCCTGCTTCCCGATATTCTGGATTTCATTAATGCTGAACTTCTTGTACTTTCCATGACCTTTTGCCCATTATTCACTTGACTTGGAATACCCTTCATGGCCCACTCCATGTTCTGTTTATTCTTTAGATTTCAGCTTTGAGGTCACTTCCTCTAGCTTTTTCTGTTAATGCTCCCACCCACCAGTCTGAATTAGGAGCTCCACTTTTGTATTCCCATGGAGCCTTTTGCTCATCATATCTATTTGTCTACTTTTTTGTATCTTCCTTTAGACTCAGCTCCTTGAGGGCAGGACTTGCGTTTTTGTCCAGGATCATTTAGGTGCTTAACAGATAGTTGTGGAATAGGCTGCGGAGTACTTGACTTTACTAGAATCTCCTGCTCTTGTATTGGCTGGGGTTCCCTCCCTATTCATACCTATGAACAAGTTACATGGTATGATAAGGACCGTTGGTTAAAATTGGTCTCTTGTCTGCTTCTAGGTCTGGTAATACTTTACTTATTTTCTTGCACCTCCACAACTAGTAGCATGTTCCTAGAAAAAAAAGAGATTTTTTTTTTTCTTGACTCACATTCAGGGGACTGGCGTTTTGTCATTTATTCAAGCTTACTGAGTGATCTGCAAGATTTTCTTATGTCTTAGTTTCACAAACTCTGGAATCAGGCTGTAAAGATTTGACTTACTGCTCTACTTCGTACTATGTGACTGTGAGCAAGCTACATGACATATCTGTTCTGAATTTGCCTCATCAATAGGTTATACCAACCTGAGATAATAGTTGCAAGGGTTAAATGAGATAACCATTATAAAGTGCTTGGTACAATGCTTGACATATATCTATGCTCAGTAAATACTGGTTATTGTTACTATTATGAAACTCCATTCAACAGCATCAGCAATACAATTATTCCTACCTCATTTTGTTTTAGAAGTTTAGTTGAAGAACTGATATTTGTGCATTTTGTTTTATGACTTGTTTGTACTCCTTTTTTATTTCATATAGGTCTGGCTAATTTCTGTGGTGCAGTTTTTCATAAATATCCAATTGATCTTGCCGGCCTTCTTCAGTATGTTGTCAATCAGCTAAAGGCGGGTAAAAGGTATTCATAGCAAATTATACTTACTAAAATTAAATAGAGTACTTTTATTTGGTTTGGGAGTATTGAGACTCCTATTATCCTGAAAGACTTCCTACTTGTTGGTTGTAGGCTGAAGTAGAATAGTTGCTCACTTATTTACATGAAATTCTTTAGTTAAATGATAACTTAATACATAGACACCTTTTTTCATGAATAAATATAATATTTGGCTATATAAGTTAACGCACTAAAAGTATACTTTGATTTTTTTTTGACTGCCTATTAGGCTTTTGAGTAAATGGCTAATGTAATATATTGTGTGTCTTGTATGACAAAACATACTGCACGAGGTCTGTATGCAGTAATTGACCTGCATATCATGTTGAGCATCTAGTAGGAACATATTTATTTGAGGGTGTACATAATACTTTTAAAGCATAATTTTTGAATTTGGGTTTTAGAGATACATAAGACTTCCGTATCTTTTGGACGGTGTCTTCTTTTCTTTATAAATACTGAAGTTTATTTTATTTTAAGCCAATATCAGTGCTTAGAGTTTGAATTAGTATGTGTATGTTAAACCTCATGAGAAGTAGACTGACTTGAATCAAAGAACCTAAAATCGTTTTCAGAAAAATGAGAACACATGGACACAGAAAGGGGAGTACTAAACATTGGGGTCTATTGGGGGGAAAAGGGGAGGGCCAGTGGGAGGGGGAGGTGGGGAGGGATAGCCTGGGGAGAAATGCCAAATGTGGGTGAAGGGGAGAAGAAAAGCAAAGCACACTGCCATGTGTGTACCTAAGCAACTGTCTTGCATGCTCTGCTCATGTACCCCAAAACCTATAATCCAATAAAAAATTAAAAAAAAAAAAAAAGCTTTCTGGTAAAAAGCAAACAAAAAATTAAAAACTATTTATTGACAGACTCTTACTGTGGCATATGGAAAACTTAAAAAAACATTTAAACTTAAAATTGTATCGGCACATCCCTTATGCTCATCTCTCTGCCATTTCTATATATTTTTATTCTTCTTTGTCTTTAGGCCAGCAGAACATACATTATTTTTTAATCTATAACTCAGCTTTCTGTACTGTGAGTACAGTGTTTGTGGCCATCTAAGTGAAACACAGTTTAAGGGAAAAATAAACTTTCATTGGTACTTATATACTACTTTTCATCAGGGCTATCTTAAAAAAGAAAAACTAAGGAAAACAAGGGACAAGGCAAGTTGAGAGAACACTTAGGAATCTTAGAAAATGGTTCCTTCATCTGTTAGCTTGTGTGATGAGTATGTCTAACTTTACCTTTGGAAAAACATCTGTATTTTTTAGGAAAGAATGTTTTTACTTTGTTTAGATTAACTAAAGAAGATCTTAGAGGACATAAGGTATTGTTTCCCTTGGTAGTCCTAAACTTTGAAGATTAAAAAACATAACTGTTGGCATATTACTGAAAACTGTGCTTCAGACTGGCCACTAAATTGTCATCTTTGGCTCAGATACTACAACTTAGAACTTCTTTTTTTCCTTCCTTCCCTGCCTCTCTTCCAATGTATGTAGATGTATGTGGCCATGCTGCATCTTTGTCCCTTTTTAGTAAGCGGATTATTAAGAAATGGCTCTATGCCATCAAAAACACTTTGGCCCTCCTGTATTGGAGGAGAAAAAACCATGCTATGAAGGACTTTATTGGGTCAACGAATAAAATGAAATATGAATGGTAGAGTAAAGTATTGTATCAGCGTTAGATTTATTAAAATCGATAACTTGTGGTTATGTAAGAGAATAGCTCTCTTAGGAAATGCAGTCTTAGAAATTTTAGGGGTGCAAGAGGCCATGATGTAAATAATTTTCCCTCAAATGATTAAAAAATTCAGTGTGTGACTATGTATGTAGAGAGGGGCTTCAGAGAGGGAGAGAAAATGCAAATGATAAAGCAAGCAGGATTAAAAATGTTACTAGGTGAAGTTGAGGTAAAGGATATATGGGTGAGCTTATACTGTTTTTATTTTTCCATCCTATTAGTAAATTTGAAATTATCTCCAAGTAAAGTTAAACATACACATCAAATATTTGAAATGAAAATATAGTTCTCGGAATGTGGTTCCTTAAAAACTGCTTCAGCCTCTTCCCCTATATTCGTATGCAAATAATTTAGGAATTCTCAGTATTTTAATTACAGTATATTATTTTTTATATTTGAAGTTCTAACTGTAGACTGTTTTTCTTTTTTTCTTTTTGAATAGTTTTGACCTGCTTATATTGAAAGAAGTCGTGCAAAAAATGGCAGGAATACAAATTACAGAGGAAATGACGGTGGAGCAACTAGAGGCCATGACTGGTGGAGAGCAGCTAAAAGCTGAGGTAAGAATTGCTATTTTTGTTCATCAGCTTTTAGAATTCATAATGTATGTGTGATCATAGTAAATAATCCAAACAATATGTAAGTTAATAAAACCAAATGTCAAAGCCATACATGCCTTCCTTTCACAACCACCCATACTCCGTTTTAGAAATTGAGATACAGTAGTTACTTTAACTTTTTTAAAAAGCTGAAACAAAATATAAAAGTAAGTAATGCATCTTCTGTAAGGAAAGTAATTACCAACTAAGTCCAGGCACGGTGGGTCATGTCCTGTAATCCCGGCACTTTGGGAGGCCGAGGCTGGTGCATCACCTGAGGTCAGGAGTTAGAGACTAACTTGTCCAACATGGCGAAACCCTGTCCCTACTAAAAAATTGAAGAATTAGCTGGCTGTGGTGGCTGGCGCCTGTAATTCCAGCTACTTGGGAGGCTGAGTCAGGAGAATTGCTTGAACCCAGGAGGCGGAGGTTGCAATGAGCCAAGATTACGCCATTGCCTGGGCAATGAGAGCAAGACTCTGTTCCTCCCCCTGACAAAATAATAATAAATAAATAATTACCGAATAATTACTAAGTCTTCTGTGATTCTTGATATCCTCACTCCGTTAAATCTTAGTTGCTCTGTTGAATCTGTGCCACAATGAATAATTTAATAATCCTTTATGAGGGTGCAAGGTGGAAAATGGAAAATATGCAAGAATTTAACTTCAGCTGATGTTTGTCTTTAAGCCAGTGACCGTAGTCAGTAATAGCCACTAAAATAAATTTGTGTAAGGGAAGGAATGTGTAATGTAGGGGTTTTTTAGGTTAAGGATTTAAACTCAACTTTTTGCTATGTCTTTATCAAATTAGACAGCATGGGTTATATACTGTACATTAGTAAATTTGTGTCTTCTCTTGTGCAGGGTGGTTATTTTGGCCAGATCAGAAACACTAAAGAATCCTCTCAGAGATTAAAGGATGCTCTTTTGGACCATGATCTTGTCCTTCCTCTCTTTCTCCTTATGGCTCAGCAGAGGAATAGGATAATCTTTCAGGAAGGTGGAGAGAAACATTTGAAACTTGTGGGAAAGCTCTATGACCAGGCAAGTTAAAGAGGCTTTTATGTTTACATACATTTTAAAAATCTTGTTAAAGGAAGATGTTATAATTTGAAAAATGTCATTTTTGCACATCATGTGAATATGAGACATCCTAATCTAATGTGAAATAGATATTCATGAAATAGAGCCTATTTCTATGTAAATTATGATATTTAAGAGTTAGCTCCAAGTGGTGTTATATGTAAGACTGTGAATTAATTAAATATTACATCATTAAATTTCTACATATTCAAGTTGTTTGCATGTATATCTTTCCTGGTGTCTGGAAATCTCAGTCGTAATAGAATAGATGCTTGTTTGCACTCGTGCACGCTCTCTCTTTTCTTTTTCTTTTTCTTTCTTTCTTTTTTTTTAGGCAAGGCCTCACCCTGCTACTCAGGTTGGAGTGCAGTGCATGATCTCAGCTCACTGCAGCCTTGACCTCCCTGGCTCAAGTGATCAGCCTACCTCAGCCTCCCAAGTAGCTGGGACTATAGGCGTGCACACCTCGCCTGGCTGATTTTTGGATTTTTTTTTGTAGGGTCGGACTCTGCCATGTTGCGCAGGCTGGGTTGCTCTCTCTCTTTTCTTTGTGTTATCGTTGATGATAGGTAAACACATTTTGTGGGCTAATCTTAGGTTTGGTACTTGATATTTATAACTACATTCTGTAAATAAAGTTTTCTTCTTTTAAGGGCAAAGGAATTGACTTCGGTTTGCCTATGGTTATTATCTTATTTGATTTAGGTAAATATATTCCACTAAAAGTGATGAAATACAGCTTGGCGTTTAAGAGACCTAGTTGGCTAGTAAAGCCTTGGATCAGTCAACCAGTCAGGGCCTTGGCATCTTTTTTGTAAAATGATTATGTGATTATATTTGAAGATGGCCTCTAAAGTCTTTTTAAGTTATAAAATTTGGATTCTTAATTTTTAAAATGTTCCTAAAATGACTTCTTACTCACTTTGGAAAATATGTTGATTTTGTCTTATTTTTTAAATTTAGTGTCATGATACCCTGGTGCAGTTTGGCGGGTTTTTAGCATCTAATCTGAGCACAGAAGATTATATAGAGCGAGTGCCTTCAATTGATGTACTCTGTAACGAATTTCATGCACCCCATGATGCGGCATTTTTCCTGTCTAGACCAATGTATGCCCGTCATATTTCGGTAAGTACAAGTGCCTTTGCTGCCGCTTAAGAATGATCCAAATTATTTCTTAACGGTTTTATCTGTACGTACATTTCACTACATATTTTGGGGGAAGGTCTTGGCCCTTAAACTGGGATCCCTTCTTTGTTTCCGGTAGGGACACAGAGCTGTGTAGTAGAGGTATACAAAAAAGGTGATGAGAAATTTGGAGTGTAAGTGATCATTTAATCAGACATCTGCTGTTAGTTTTTAACGTATCAACTGCTACAGTTTCCCACTTCTTTTCTAACTGTTACTTGATTTAATTATCGCTTTATTAGCGCCATGCAGAAATTCTTGTGTTACGTATACACTCTGAAAGGGAAAAGACAATAAGAGAGTGGTGTTAGGCTGCTTCTTCCCCTTCAGATCCTCTCAATCCAGAGAATTGTATGCTGTCTTTGTGTAATGTCTTATTGTTGTCACACCCCATGGTAGCTCAGACTCAGCTAGCTATACAAGAGGGTACCTGATTTCTTGATGGACTGAGGTGAGAGAATTGCTTCATCTTAGGAATTCTGACCTGCTCTGTGCTAAGCGAACACACTAATCAGCATTACGGAACCCTAGCAAACAGGAACACCTGGTTGTCTGAGGTTGGCTGAACTTTGCCAGGTCAGAAAATGGAGCAGGCCGTTCAAGCTACCGTATCTCTCTTACTTGTGTAAAATACTGTCTTTGTCTTTTAAGAGATAACAAAAATCTAAACAAAGAAAGGGCATTTCCTTCTCAGGCTTATAAGAAAACAGAAAACTATATGGAAGTGGCTGTATAGCCAAATTGGAGATAAGTCTTTCATCTGTAAGCAACATGCCACTCTCTGGAAAAGGGGTTTCCCAGCAACCTTGGTTTCACTGGATGGGCATCCAAGCTGCCCCGAGGATCCTTGCTTTTGCTTCTTGACTGAAAGCCTCTGTTGAGGAACCTTCATTGAGACAATGAAAATGTATATTAGAAGATGACTGCTGTGTCCCCTCTATAAATTGACTATCGGCAGGCTCTCTTGAGGATAATTCAGCCAAATGTTGCTCAGATTTTTTTTTTTTTTTTTGAGATGAAGTCTTGCTCTGTCTCCCAGGCTGGAGTACAGTGGTGCAATCTCAGTTCACTGCAGCCTCTGCCTCCTAGATTCAAGCAATTCTCCTACCTCGTGCTCCCAACTAGCTGGGATTACAGGTGCCTGCCACCACACACAGCTGAATTTTCTATTTTTAGGGGTTTCGCTATGTTGGCCATGCTGGTCTCAAACTCCTGACCTCAGGTGATCCAGCTGCCTTGGCCTCCCCAAGTGCTGGCATTACAGGCGTGAGCCACTGGTCTGGCCTGCTCAGATTCTTGAGGCGAGATTTTTGAACAATAGAAGTACAGCAATAATTGTGGATATCAGTTCTATTCCGTAAGTCTAGTTCCCTAGGTGATTTGAGATGTAGAACTATTATGTCTCTTCATTAGACTGTGAAGATGTGAACTTGAAGTGGGAGTGAAACTGACTTTAGACAAGCACATTCTCATCCTGGGTAACTATGCAGTATAGCCGTCTTTTCTGACCAAGTCTGTTTTTCTGACTAGATCGCGACTATGAGGTGACTAGCAATAGAAATCATAGATTCAGACCCAGAGGACTGGGGAGACGGGAGCTATCATGTAACCCCCTCATACCTATAAACTAATTTTTAGTTTTAATTGTTGAAGTTGAGGTCCACCTGGAGGCACAGGTCTGAAAGATAACGCTTTTACCTAGTTCATATTCTGGATTTTGCCCAGAACAGGTAACTGGGCTCTCTTATGCAGATAACATCAACCCTTTTTTATCCTGTTTTGTTAGAACCTTAGCAGAAGTCATTCTGCTCATCTAGATTAATATTATTTACCTTCAATAAGACCTGTCCTCTAAATTAAACTGTTTTCCCAACTGTTAATCCCTCTGGTTTCTGATGCAATTGGGACTGCTCTCACTAATGTTCTTTATAACTTTGTCACTTATGTGGTCTTAGTAGTTGTCAGCATGCTCTCTAAAATGGGGATGACAACATAAATCTTTGGACTTCTAAAACAATTGTCAAATTCTCAGGTCCTGTTTAAGAACCCTCCTTGAAGAAAGAGAATGTTGTGTACTTTTAGTGCCGTGAGCCTGGGAGCATAGCAGCACCCAGGGCACTCAGGAAGGAAGAAGGCAGGTAACTGAGCTGTAAGGAGCTGAGACTCTTTTGCCTGCCATAGTGTAGAACTGGAATCAGAAGCTTTGATCATCTTGTTTTCAGTTACGTGTTTAGCACAAATAGAATGATTTAAGTTATATTCTAACATAAAGAGGAAACTAGTTTTAGGACTTCCCTTAGGTTATATTAAGGCTGATAACTAACCCAAACAGAATTATCTGGACGAGAGCCATTTCATCCTAAAGGGACTGAGGGACATGAAGCAATAGCAGCAACTGTGTGTGTGTGTGTTTGGTGTGTGTGTGTGTGTGTGTGTGTGTGTAGAGAGAGAGAAATATATTTGGCACACACACATCCCTGCAGCCCCTCCCATTGTACTAACATTCTTTCCCCCATACTATTAAGAATATGGCCTTCCTCTGACTTTTCCCCAAAATTAGGATAACCAGTCAGGTGAAAGAAGCTGCAGCATCAGTTCTCACATGCTTTAAACTTCAATATACCGCAACTTTTCACAGAAAAAATTATTTGGCTAAGCAGCAGGGTAATGATTTGATCCTACTTTGCCTGGGACTTTCCCAGTTTTAACACTAAAGTCTTATATCCTCAGAAACCCCTAAATCCCCAGGGTCACCCTACTTAGCAGCCTTAAAACAAATTTCTCATAGCTTTTCTTAATGTTGATTCAGCTTTTTTTTTTTTTTCTTTTTTCTTTTTTGAGACAGTCTCCTTCTGTCACCCAGGCTGGAGTGCAGGGGTGGGATCTCAGCTCACTGCAACCTCCGCCTCTAGGGCTCAAGTGACCCTCACACCTCAACCTGGCACGTAGCTGGAATTACAGGCATGTGCCACCACACCCAGATAATTTTTTATATTTTTTGTAGAGATGGGGTTTGGCCATGCTGGCCAGGTTGGTCTCGAACTCCTGACCTCAAGTTATCTGCCCACCTCAGCCTCTTGATCTAGCATTTTAATTGACACATTTTAATAGTTGGTAGGGACTACATGTAGTGATGTGTCAACTACATCCTGTCCTAGTTGGCTGTTACTAGTTGCATTCTTCCTCTTCTCTCATGTTAAGACCTTCTGTTTGTTCGCTTGACTATCTCAAAAGCAGGATCGGAAACCCTTCATGTTCAATCCCTGATACAGGAGCCAGAGGGAGTAGGGTGGGGGAATGGAAGAGGGTGATATGCATATACCCTATTCACTTTACTCCACAGGTTAGATAAGAATCCTCTGAAAAATCTCCTAGTTATCACTCAGTCCTAAAGATTGGAATAGCTTCCAGGGATGGATGATTTGTCTTAAAATAAATGTGGTTGGGAGGAAACTAGAATTTCTATAACAGTTTTGAGATTGGCCATCTTTTGATTCTTTAAAAGGGAATACAGATTTTTATACCATGAAAGTCAAAGCTATAAATTATGTCATGTGTGTATGTATGTATGTATGTATGTATTTGTACTTTTTACCTCTAGTCAAAGTATGATGAACTTAAAAAATCAGAAAAGGGAAGTAAAGAGCAACATAAAGTTCATAAGTACATAACATCATGTGAGATGGTGATGGCTCCTGTCCATGAAGCAGTGGTCTCCTTACATGTTTCCGAAGTCTGGGATGACATCAGCCCTCAATTCTATGCCACGTTCTGGTCATTGACAATGTATGACCTTGCAGTTCCACACACCAGCTATAAACGAGAAGTAAATAGACTTAAAATCCACATGAGAGCAATTGATGACAATCAAGAAATGGTAGGTTTTTGTTCTAGTACTTCAAGTGCAATAACTTATATTCAGTGTTACCTATATTTCGAAATTGTTTTAGCTCTGGTTCCTTAAAATGGTGGTCTTGTTGCTATATAATATTCTTTTAAATGGGGTTTAATAGTTACTTCTGAGTGGAGGGCCAGGAGATTGGTGACTAGGTGGAGGTTATGATTAATCAAAAATTATTTGAGGGTCCTTTTCTACTGATGACTGTGCTGATAACTTAAAACGATTCATGTGACTAATAGCAAGAGCAGTAGTTCTTAAGAGGAGAGTCCTTCAGGAGAAGATTATTGAAAAGCTGAATCCTGAGCTGAACAGGCCTTGAAGGTAGATTAGGTTTGGAAATATGGAAGCAAATAGGATGGTCACCATAGGGTTCCAGCAAAGATAGGAAGTAGGTTGAGGTTTAGGGAGACCACTTTTACTGATTCACTTTCATGTAGTCAATGTACTTAGTGATACGTATGGAGAGTTATGATGGGGCCAGATTGTATAGGGCATTGAAAATCAGGGAGAAAAGAGTAGGCTTGGTACAACTGAGAGCTATTTTAGTTTTCTGAGCAGGGGAGTAATAATGGTAAAAAATGGTACTTAAAAATGATTACTCATGACAGCAGTATGAAAGATGCTTTTGACAGGGGAGAGGACTAGCATTAGGCTAAAGAGCAGCTAGGTGGCTTTTTAGGCAATCTATTGTGAGAGCATAGACTGATGGAGGTAGTGGCCTTGTACAAGACTTGTAAACAAGTCTTGGTATAAAGGAAAAGGAAGAGTCAAAGATTTCTCCATGCCTGAGACTAGTAGTAGTATTAGTGTAGCAAATTTAGCTGTTTTGATGGTGTATGAAGCCTCCATGACAGTGTTATAAATGTGTTGAATGAAGATTAAAGTAGGACATTCAAGTGGACCTATATTCATATTGAATTATAAACTATCAGCCCTTATCTCTGTAAACTTTTCAGTTGAAAGAAGAAAGGTAATGTGCATATGGTTAGAAAAGTATCTAATTTATTCCTTGTAGCCTAGCCCCCAAATAAAAAGAAAAAAGAGAAGGAGCACTGTACTGCTCTTCAGGACAAGCTTCTTGAAGAAGAAAAGAAACAGATGGAACATGTACAGAGAGTTCTACAGAGATTGAAACTGGAAAAGGACAAGTGGCTTTTAGCAAGTAAGTTATTGGAATTGTTACATTCCTGATGCTGGTAAATGACAGAAAACAAAACGTCAGAATTTTAGAGATGTTAAAGTATATTATGTTTGTGTTTCAACTCAGTGTTCCCAATCTCATTCTTTCATTATTCGTTGATGCAGAATGAACTTCACATTCACTGGAGGAACTGATACATTTTAACTGCAATATTGACAGCTTGTCATTCAGTTTTTCTGTACAAAACATATTTTTGGAGAAGTCATAGGTAGAAAAAATGTCCACAGCATAAAAATGATAGTCTTATCTCAGGCATGAGCTTTGGTTACAAACTATGAGTAGTTTGTGGTTTTATCGTATTCTCTGCACTAAAGGAAATAATATTGTCATGTTCAGTGGCTTTGAGGCCCTTGAGGAAGAATTTTACAACTTAATATATCCTTCCTTTATTTACAGAATCTAACAAAAATGAGACCATCACAAAATTTCTACAGCTGTGTTTATTTCCTCGATGTATTTTTTCAGCAATTGATGCTGTTTACTGTGCTCGTTTTGTTGAATTGGTACATCAACAGAAAACTCCAAATTTTTCCACACTTCTTTGCTATGATCGAGTAAGTTCTTTTTATTGCAACCTTAAAAAAATTCTCACACAAAGATAGCTAACATTATAATCTATAGAGGTATTATTTTGTGTGTGGTTAGAAAGCATGAACTCAAGAGCCAAGTGTCTAAACTTGAATCCTAGCTTTACTATTTTCTAGCTGTATGATCTTTGGCTAGCCCTTTAACCTCTCTGTGACTGTTTTCTTATCTGTAAAGCATAAATAACCTGCTTCATGATGAAATGAGCCACTCCACATTAAAAAAGCACCTGATATGTAATAGGCACTCAAGGTTAAACTATTAACTGAGTTTACATGTATTATCATAATTGGTAGAACTCTTTTCTCCACTCTTAACCTTCAGTTCTCAAAAAAAAAATTTACACCTTCACACACACATAAAAGCAGGGAAGCTTTTCAATATGGTCATATTCACATTTTGTGTTTAGCTTTTTTCTTATATTACTGCATTTTGTGTTTTAAAAACATAATGTATGTTCCAGCACGTCAGCTGCCTGTTTCTAATTTACATCCGCATTTCCTCTGTTTACTCTCCCCATAAACCCAGTCATATGTGTGGCTAAGTCATTAAGAAACTATTATATAATAATAATGATAGGTTTTTGTTTTTTTTTCTGTCACTGTAAATCAGCTTTCCTTATAAAAATTGTTTTTCTGGGTATTTGCTTTATGAATGCACTATTTCCCCACAAAAGCCAAACTCTCCAAAGGTCTCTGGAGTGTCAGTATATAAAGGGAATATACGTTTTTGAGACTAAGCTTACCTGTTTATTATGACTTGCTATAAGAGAATCTTCTAATATTTCAACTGATTTTGACCTTGATTTGTTTATATTTTTAAAACATTTTTTCCTGTAGGTTTTCTCTGACATAATTTACACAGTTGCAAGCTGTACTGAAAACGAAGCCAGTCGCTATGGAAGGTTTCTTTGCTGCATGTTAGAGACTGTGACCAGGTGGCATAGCGATAGAGCCACATATGAAAAGGTATCACTAATAGAAACCCTTACATTTTGCCTGTGTATATAATGACCGCACCCAGTAATGTCTAGATTGTTGAGTTTTAAAAGAGGAGCTGAGTTTAAGATTCAGTTGTAACACCATGTTTATAAGCACAATGAATTCGTTAAAAAGTGCTGTATACCTTTTTATTCTATCTCAAACTGACATTCCAAATTAATATCTTTATATAAGTTGAACTTTTTATGACTATCCAAATACACATGATGGTTTTATGTGGAAACATTGATCGTCTACTTAAGTTTCCATTTCTGCTATTTTGTGGATCACAATTTTTTTTCTTTAAACGTGACAAACATTGTTTCCTTAGGAATGTGGAAACTATCCAGGATTTTTTGCCACATTACGGGCAACTGGATTTGATGGTGGAAATAAGGCTCATCAATTAGACTATAAAAATTTTCGACATCTTGTACATAAATGGCATTATAAACTAACCAAGGTAAAAAAAAAATTAAATTTTTCAAAGGTAAATTTTTCTCTTTATACCTGCATAATAATGAATCTTAAAATGTTTGTTGTAGGCATCGATACATTGCCTTGAAACAGGCGAATATACTCACATCCGGAATATCTTGATTGTGCTAACAAAAATACTTCCTTGCTACCCAAAAGTTTTGAATCTGGGTCAAGCTTTGGAAAGAAGAGTACACAAAATCTGCGAAGAAGAAAAAGAGAGGAGGCCAGATCTATATGCATTGGCTATGGGGTAACAAAATTATATTTTAATGTGATTTGTAAGACTAGATGACAGAAGGATTCTGAAGACTTTAAAATGTTTTACAGTGTTGAAGTTTATCTTCTGCCTTCAGGAGATTATGGGAGATAATGGGATCATGTTCCCACAGGCTGGTGAGAGTTACCATTTCTGATGATCAACTTCCGGTCTATACTGGATGATAGTTTCAAAAGTCATATATAATACTTCTTGATTGGGAGGAAATATAATTTTATCATCAAAGTTACCAGATCTTCAAGAATAAAAGAAAAAAGCCATCTTAGTTTTAGGATTAGTTTATAGTGAAATTGTTATTTTTAAGAAAGTTGGGCATTCTATAGGAACCTTCAAGAACTTACTAAAAATTCGTATTTTTTATTACTTCCCTAGAACCACAGAGTAGAATGAATAACTTGCTAATTCTATTCTTATAAACCTCATGTTTGTGTTTTTTGATTTGTGTTTGTACATTTAAACACTTTGTGTGACTTTCAGCTACTCTGGGCAGTTGATGAAAAGTAGAAAGTCATACATGATATCTGAAAATGAGTTTCATCACAAAGACCCTCCTCCAAGGAATGCAGTTGCCAGTGTGCAAAATGAGCCTGGTGGTGGGCCTTCTTCATCATCAACAGGAAGTTCATCTAAATCGGATGAAAGCAGTACTGAGAAGACTGGTATGCTTACTTGTAGAAGCTTATAAGTAATATATTTTACCTCAACAAAGTGAAATGTTTTGTATCACAGAACAAGTACAATGCTGGCTTAGTATTACTTTTTATTCCCTAGATAGGAGTATATAAGTGTTAAGTATTCAGCCTGCTCCTTCTTTCTAATTATTCTCTAATCATTTAGCTGTGAAACTGTAGTTTATTTACATCTAAGGGCTTGTTAAATAAAACCTTACTTTTATTTCAGATAAATTAAGGGAGAGATCTCAGTGTGGTGTGAAAGCTGTTAATAAATCGTCTAATACCACACCTAAAGGGAATTCAAGCAATGGAAATAGACAGGTAGGAACACTGTGCCATGTGTCATTATTCTAAATTCTTTTTTAAAATGATTTTTACGTATTTTTTTTTTTTTTTTTGAGACGAGGGTCTTGCTATGTTGCGTAGGCTTTTCTTGAACTTCTGGCCTCAAGCAATCTGCCTTGCCTTGGCTTTCTATAGTGCTGGGATTAGAGGCACGAGCCACTGCGCCTGGCCCTCATAATTCTGATTTCGTATGTGGACCCGCATGAGTAGAAGGGGAGTGGTTGTTGAGTAATGTGAAAAGTCATTTATGTTGGACTTTGAAATTTTCTTTTTACCCTATTTTGCTGATATGCTTTACATCCTAATTATGTTTCATATCGTTATGCTTTGTATAACAACTTTGTTTCTCCTGGTGGGATATGCAGGGGAATATAGATGTGAAGTTAAAAAAATATTTTAGGATAGAGTGATTGCTGTGAACAATCTGAGTAAGGGCAGACATAAGAAAAGCCTACACTAATTTAAGTACTCCATCCAGCGAAGTAATCCGTTTCCTGATGGTATTTCCCTTGGTTGGTTTGTGAGGTATATATTTGGTTTTTACCATGTTATTCTGATAGGTTACGAATGTATTCCAAAAGAGAGGCTGACATTATTTTAATAATAATTTTCTTTTTTTTTTTTTTTTTTTTGAGGCAGAGTCTCTTTCGATCACCCAGGCTGGAGTGCAGTGGTATGATCTTGGTTCACTGAAACCTCCGCCTCCTGGGTTCAAGTGATTCTTATGCCTCAGCCTCCCCGGTAGCTGGGATTACAAGCTACAAGCATGTGCTACCACACCTGGCTAATTTTTTGTGTGTTTTCAGTAAAGATAGGGTTTTGCCATGTTGACCAAGCTGGTTTCAGACTCCTGGCCTTGTGTGATCTGCCTGCCTTGGCTTCCTAAAGTGCTGGGCGTGAGCCACCATGCCTGGCTAATAATTATTGTTAATATGCAATTCATGAATTTGTTTTTCATTTACTGGATAAATGGATAAAGAAATAGTTTTTTTTTTTTTTTGGAGACGGAGTCTTGTTCTGTCACCCAGGATGGAGTGCAGTGGCCTGATCTTGGTTTGCTGCAACCTCTGCCTCTCAGGTTCAAGCGATTTTCATGCCTCAGCCTCCAGAGTAGCTGGGATTACAGGCGTGTGCTACTTTGCCCAGCTAAGTTTTTTATATTTTTAGTGGAGACGGGATTTTACCATGTTGGCCAGGCTGGTCTCAAACTCCTGACCTCAAGTGATCCACCCTCCTCAGCCTCCCAAAGTGCTGGGATTACAGGCGTGAGCCACTGCACCTCGCCATTGTTTCTTCCTTTTTACTTGTCTTAAAGTTGTCCTTTAGTTTTCAAAGGACACTACCTTAGTTCTAGTATTTTTTGAACTTAGTAAGAAAGCCTTTATGATATATTTTATCATAAATCAGACGGGATATGTTTTATGATTATTTGTCTTAAAATCCCATGTTTTTATTTTTAAGCAACAAAGCTGTTAAAAAGAAAATGACAAAGAAAAAGGGAAAGAGAAGGAAAAGAAGAAAAAAGAAAAGACTCCAGCTACTACTCCAGAGGCCAGGGTACTTGGTAAAGATGGTAAAGAAAAACCAAAGGAGGCGCGGCCAAATAAAGATGAAAAAGCAAGAGAAACCAAGGAAAGAATGCCAAAGTCTGACAAAGAAAAAGAAAAATTCAAGAAGGAAGAAAAAGTTAAAGATGAGAAATTCAAGACCACTATCCCCAATGCAGAATCAAAATCAAGTCAAGAAAGGGAAAGAGAGAAGGAGCCATCCAGAGAGAGAGATAGAGAAAAGAAAATGAAATCAAAGGAAAATGTTAAAGGAGGAGAAAAAACGCCAGTTTCTGGGTTTCTGAAGTCACCCGTTCCCCGATCAGATATTCCAGAGCCTGAAAGGGGCAAGTTTACCTTTCTATCTGTGTGCTTACCTTATCTTATTTTAATGTATAGTTGGTTAGTGTCTCCTTGTTTTGGTAGGTTACGTAGGGTTTTTGCTAGGGGAACGTGATTGCCTTACAAGTTGATTTTTTTTTAAGTGTTTAGAAAACAAAAAAAATATATCTTATTCTGACTGTTTCTTTTTGTCTTAACAGAAAAAAAACGCCGCAAAATTGATACCCACCCTTCTCCATCACATTCCTCCGCAGTAAAGGTTAGTATAGCCTGGAAAAGGCAGCATCCACTTTAGGCTCACCTGTTTGGAATACCAGTGTCCTGACTTCCTTCAAGTCTTATGCCAGGCATTCACTGGAGCCACTGGAGGTTTATATTGCATTACAAAATGAATTTTTCTATACTGGTGGACTGATTTTTCCTTCCCATTATTTTTATAAAAATGTTCAAATTTCAAGGACTTGGCACTAATTTTGGAGTGTTTCAAAATGCAAGAGAAGTTCTACCCAGAAGTGCCTCAACTGCTTTAAGCAGACTTTTTTGGAGTGCAATGGTAGCTACAGGCAAACAAATCTTTTCAGCAGAGAAGCCTATTTTGCAGCATGAATATTGCTTACCGTAATTAAAATAGAAATCTGCTAAGCATGATTTCTTTACTGGTGGACCAAATGAAATTTTGAAACAGAGCCAGTTGACCATTACTAACTGATTTATGATGAAATGTCTGTGGGTATTAGGTAAATAAGCACTAATTTTTAACAGTTTATGTCAGCCAGTGTACCTGCATCCTAAAGTTGTGCCATTGTTTTTAGAATATATTGTATTAATCAAAAGTCTCAGCTGTACTGGGAGAACTTGCATGTACTTTTATTTTTTTCTGATTTGAATGGATGTTTTACTTGAAGTAGATATTGGGATTATTCTGAAATATGCCATTGAAGAACAAGTCAAAATAACACAATAGACACATCAGCTTAATATTTTTGAAAATTCTAAACATTCAACTTGTTTTTGTTTTTTGGTGTTAGCTATAACGTCACAATACTAATGAGAGTTTTCAATACCTGAGGTATTTGTGCCACTACAAAGTCAAAGGCAATATCTCAGATGTTATTTGGGCGAGGGGAGCAGAGACTGACACTTACTTACCTCATTTGACTCTGCATTCTAGGATATAAAAATAAGAAAAACAAATATTATCACAAATTTTCATGTTACTTAAATCTAATAGAGCACCATTCTCACCTTACTTCCAGTACTGATAACAATTAGAACATGAAAGGAAAATTTAGTGCTCAAAAGTGTGCTTTGAAATTTCAGCTCTTGTGTGCATAAAATAATGATATCTGAGCAAAAAGTTGTTTTATTGTTTATTCTAAATCGACAGTGTTCAAAAATTTGATACTATTAAATAAAGATCTTAGATGTTTTCAATTCTTTCTCCAAGACTTAGCTATTATTGAAATTATGATGGGTTATGAAGATGAATTAGGGCATCTTCCGGTAATAATATATTCTGCTAAGCTCCGTACTTGTGTCCTAAGCAGACAGACTGGTTATTAAATCTCATCAATTTTTGTTTGACCGACCGTACTTTAACATGGATTCCATCCCTTCTGCTGTGCTGCAGATTTTCTTCAGCGTTTTACACTCTCTCTCATTGGCCTGTTCCAACTCCATCTTAATATTACAGCATACAAGGGCCTTACACTTTTCCAGTATAACAGGATTACAGGAGGCAAGTCTGTTAATTTGAATCATCACCTCTCGGGTGAAAGTTGAAGTCAAGAACACCTGAGAGACCAGGCCTTTGGCAGATGCCTCCCGTGCTGGCAGCTTTCACCCACCAATCAACCTTCCATTGGCGGATGCTCCACCCATGATTCTTGGAAATGTAACAGTAGTACAGCCATCTGGAGTCTGTCCAGAGGTCATATATGCGGTTTGAAACCAAGCCTATTCATTAGCCCAAACCAAGTCACAAAGAGGTAGTATAGTTGCACCTAGTTTAGTGGCTGGGCCGTTGACAGATACGACAGTAAGTTTTTAAAAAAATGAATGAAAACATTCACAAAGCTCTTAATCATTTCAGGGCTCATTCTGTTTCTGTCATTCCTTAAATTCTTCACAATGTACCCAAAATCAAGACCAGCGCGAAAGACACTGCCAGGGGCGCTGAACAACACAAGCTTGCTGTCATCCACAGTAGCCCTTTCCAGAGCATTCATGATTTCTTTAATAACTTCCGTGTTCAGTGCATTTTTCTCTGTTGATATAGTGGATAGCAATATGTGGGTGAATCTCTCGTCTTTCTTGACTGCAATGTCTCTGTATCTGTTGTCACTTTCTTTTAAGCTTATGAAATACATCCTCTTGGTAGAAGGCTGGTCTTTTCTCTCATCAATAATCTCTTTTGTCCCACCTTTCACTCTCCGAACAGATGTATGCCTGTTTGTTGTCCCATTGGCTGTTGAAGGGTCCATCAATACCCCTATACTTTCTTTGTTATCTGACTCTGTGGCCATGGCAGCAGTAACTGAGTCAGACATCTGAGACACTGGTGGTTGTGTGTGGGTCCTGTTTTCTATTCCATCCTGTTCTGTGTCAGGATCTGCTGAAATTCTGATGTGTTTGTCTGCTGCCGCCTTAAACGCCATCTTGTCCTCCTGAACTGGTGCAACAGGATCTAGTTTCAGAGGTTTCAAAACGGCACTGTGTTCTGGCCGTTAACTGGGCTCTCTGAGGTACAGGTGTCTTGATAGTTGAATTTATGTGCTCCAAATGTTTTGGGTCAGTGAGAAGTGCAGCAGTGTTTATTCTAATGTTCTGTCTGGCAGCAAGCAACTGGTTGTTTTTGGATTTGTTGTGGTTGCCAGTCGATGGCCTTTTAGGAAAGTTCGTAGGGAAGCTGAATGTGGAAGTTCTGAAAGTTCGTTTTCTGACATTGTTTGAAGAAGTCGTCCTTGTTCTGATCCACGTCGATTTTTTTTCTGCTTTTGTGTCTGTCGTCTGTTAAAGTCACAAATACATTGTCCACAGTTTGTGAGGTTCTGCTCTGGTTCCCAAGTGTCATCCCGTTTGTCTTAAAACCTTTCCACCGAACCAAATATTCTGTTTTCCCATTTCTGTGTTGTCTTTTGTCAATAATAGCTTCAACCTCAATCTCCTGGGTAGCCATGAAGAGAGGGACACAATTGAGACAGTTGCTGTTTTAAGCTTTTCTCAGTTGTGTCTCTTCATAGCCACTTCTTTTGGCCTCTGGTGCTTCACCAGGTGCTATGTATGGATGAGCCTCTTCCTCTTCGTGGACACTGCTGTAGTAAAACATGTGTGAAGAAGCAGTCAAAGAGCCTTAGCCTCTTCACACTTAAATCTTTGAGGGACAGCTTGGACTTGGTCTTATCATGCCAAGAAATCTGGCTAGGTAGCTTTCGGTAAGATTGGCTAAATCCACAGCTTTGACTCTTCTATAGTGCACAAAGTATTCTACATGCCTGTTACTCTCTTTTTTTTTTTTTTTTTTTTTGTTGCCTTGGTAATTATATTTAACGTTCTAAAGTTATAACATTTTAAAAGTCATACTGGCTTACTACCTGCAACAGCATGAAAACCCATACTTTATATGTTGGTCCTTCTTATTGTTGTTATTCATTTCTCAAAATTATATCTGTAATTATTGTATGTCAAAAACCCATACAAAATTTTAGTGACAACTTTTTATTAAATGTATTAGTTCTGCAAATTATTTGTAGAACAGATTGTGGAGCTACACGTTGTAAACTTTTTTATCTTTTATAATTGTTTATATATTTGTCTCTATTTTAACTCTTATTTATGTATACTGTTATTCAGTGTCTGTTTGTTTTACCCTTAAGTATTTATAACGCATTTCTTAAAAAGCCATCTAATAGGAAAAAGCCCCAGATTTTATCTGGGAATATTATGCTTTCTTTCTCACTTTTGATGGACAATTTTTTGCACAAAAGTTTTCTGTTTGAAAGTTTTTCTTACATCACTTGAATTGTGCTAGTCTGCTACTTTGTGGTCTCTGAGTTTTCAGATAAAAAAATTATTGATTATATTTGAGAGGTTTTTGTACATAACTCATCATTTCTTTTGCTGCTTTCAAGTTTGTTTTTGTTTTAAATGGCTAAATTATCATGTAAGTTTATGTGTGTGTCTTTCAGTTTATCACATTCGAAATTTTTTGGGGGTTGAGATGTTCATTTATTTCCCCATATTTATACAATTTTTGACCACTGCTCTTTAAGTCCTTGTTTTGATTTTCTGTCTCTTACTTGGAACCTCCAAAATGTGTAAGTGTGGCCGCCTGATGACTTCCCACAGGTTTCTAGGCAGTGTGGACGTACGTTCAACTCTTATCTTGTTTCCTTCTTGACATAATAATTTCAGTTAATTGTTCTTTAGGTTTTCTGATATTTTGGCTTTTCCTCTACTTAAGCCTACTTTTAATATTCTATAGCGAATTTTTGTTTCAGTTGTTTTACTTTTCTCTTTATGATTGTTCAGTTATTAAAATATTATCACTCCCTTTTTAAATTTATTCATGAATTTTCTGTGCTCCTTTAGGTTAGTTATTTTGTTATATTCCTATGAACATTAATTTCAAAAATTATTTTTTAGTAAACCTGCCATTTGAGCTGTCTAGGAGAACCTTGTGTTTCATATTATTTTTTGTTCCTGGAATGAGCTGTAGTTTTCTTTTTTACTTAATGTACTGTGATTTCATTAATGGTTGACAAGGGCAATTAAATTTTAAAATGCTGTTACCTTGAAAATCAGGATTTATTTTTCTGCATTGCTTGAAAGCGTTTTGTTCAGTCATCATGTCGGCTCTATCTGTATGGAAAATCAGTCGTACCAAATTTATTTTTGGGTCTTCTTTAATCCTGCACAGTTCTGGGGTACATGGCCTCATCGTAACAATTTATTTATCTATACTTTCATGCATACGTATTTATTTTGAATATTTTTATACACCAATGTCTGACTTCTTAAAAGGAAAAAAATAAGAAAATTAAAAAAAATAGAAAAAAATGTGTTGTGGCTCTTTACAATTTATTCTGAATTGAACAGGAGGAGGGAAAGTCTACACAGGGTTTGGAAATGAAACCATGACTATTCACCTCTGTCAGTACCTCTGTTATAAGAAGCACCATTCATTGCATAAGTCATTTTGAGAGTTTTAAGGCACAGTGTTTTCTGTTTTTCTGACTCTTGCCAGCTGCTTCAGAAGGTTTTCCAATTGGCATGCCACGGAGATGGTTAATAACAAATAAATAGCTATTGTTGATCTGTTTCATAAAATTGATAACGTTTAATTATTTTTTCCTATGGTAATTTCCTTTGAAGCTGTAAACTTTCAGATGTAGTCTGGAATTCCAAAAAAAATTGCAGTATGTTTATTTTTACTGTATCTAGTTTTGACTTGAAGAGCCACACATAGAGTACTCTGTAGTCCATTGTCATGCCTTTCCCAAAATTGGTATTATTTTACTTTTGGCCCCTGAGTAATTTCACCTAAAATAAGACTAGCATAGTAATTATATAAATGAATCCTTTTTCTAATTGTGTGTGCCTTTTTATGAAGGAGCACATGTTGAAAGAAATTAAAAGTATAACATTATTACAAGTGTAAAATTAACTATGCTAATATTTACGTTCTTGTCTTCCATGACGATTATCTTATTTGATCCTTACGTTTTCTTTCATTTAAAAATAATTGGTAATGTACTTAACACAACATGGTACTGGTACGAAAACAGAGATTAGAAAATTGCAACTGGGCAGATACCTCAGAAAGAATACCTCACAGCTATAACCATCTGATCTTTGAGATACCAGACAAAAACAGGCAATGAGAATAGAATTCCATATTTATAACATGGTGTTGAAAAAAACTGGTTAGGCCGCGTGCTGTCGCTCGTGCCTGTGGTCCCAGGACTTCGGGAGGCTAAGGCGGGTGGATCACAGGGTCAAGAGGTCGAGACCATCCTGGTCAACGTAGTGAAACCTGTCTCTACTAAAAATACAGAATGTTCGCTTGACATGGTGGCCCGCTTAACGGTAGTTACTCAGAAGGCTGAGGCAAAAGAATTGCCTGAATCCAGTAGACAGAGGTAGCGGTGAGCCAAGGTCATGCCATTGCACTCCGGCCTGAGTAACAGGAGTAAAACTCTGTCACACAAAAAAGGTAAATAAATAAATAAAGAGAAAAGACTGGTTAGCCGTACTTAGAAAGCTGAAACAGAATCCCTTCTTTACAAATTATTCAAAAAATAACTCTAGATGGATTAAAAATTAATCATGAGGCCTAAGACTATAAAAAACATGGAAGAAAACCTGGAAAATACCATTCAGTACCGAGGCATGGTCAAGGACTTTACACTCAAGCACGAGAAGCAATGGAAACAAATAGACAAGTGTGACCTAATTAATCCCAAAAGTTTATGCACAGCAAAAGAAAACATGAATAGTGTGAACTGGCAACAAAGAAAATGTTAATATACTTTTGTAATCTACCCCTCTGAAAAGAAAGATATATCCAGAATCTACAAATTAAACAAATTTACACGATAAAAACAATCACCGGCATAAAAAAAGTGGACCAAAAATATATTCAGACACTTTTCAAAAGAGAACTTTCATGCAGTCAAGAAACATGTTTAAAAAAAAACCCATCATTACTGGTCAGTGGAGAAATGCAAACCCAAAGCATATTGAGATACCACCTCACCTCTGTTAGTATGTCGATAATTAAAACAATCAAGAGACAGGAAATGCTGGAGAAGATATGGAGACAGGAATCCCTTTACAATGTCGGTAGGAGTGTAAATTAGATTCACCACTGGAGAAGACGGTGTGGCAATTCGTCAAGAATCCAAAAATAGAAATGCAATTTGATCTAACAATACCATTACTGGGTTTACACCCAAAGGTTTATAAATCATTTTATTATAAAGAGACATGCACACATATGTTCATTGTAGCCGTGTTTACAAGAGAAAAAACTGGGAACCAACCCAAATGCCCATCAGTGATAGACTAGGTAAATAACCATGGAATACTATGTTACCATCAAAAAACATGAGTTCATGTTTCTTGCTGGGATATGGATAAAACTGGACACCATGATTCTCAGCAAACAGACACAACACTGCGTATGCTCACTCATAAATGAGTGTTCAACACTGAGAACATATCAACACTCGGAGGGGAACATCACACACTGGGGCCTGCAGGTCAAAGGGTTTAGAAAAGAAATAGAAAGGAGTGCGGGGATTTGGAACAGATAGCAAGGGGAACATTACCTAATGCAGATGATAGGGTGAGGGATGCAGAAATCAACCACCATACCGTGTGTATTAGTAACCATGGGAACAGCAAGGCTTGGGCCTGGAATTTTCTGGACACATTATAACCTGAAACGTACTGACAGGTACTTTCACTAATACATTTTGGGACCATCTTACCTATTCAGTTTTCCTCATTACTCAGGTGAGAAGGCATAAAGCGGGCACAGGGGTGACATGGCTTGGAAAAGATTCCAGGAAGAAGAAAGCAACCAGCAAAGACCCCACATCAGGAACCAGGGTTGTGTAGCAGCTTCTTTTGACCACCACCCTTACCCGTGCACCCTGACTCATGACCTAAGTTTGTATCTATTTTGGAGAATGAAAGGCACAATTTTAGAAGACACACAAAACCTTGCCATCTAAAGACAAACCAAGCTGTCATTGTGGTGTTTATTTCTAGCATTTTGTCTGTTTTGTTTCTTCATATTTCTGCTACATTGCAGTGATTTCTGAGCACGCTCCCTGCACTCTATGATCTTCCTCTGGTGAGGAGGATTTTGTCAAGAGAAGAAAAGTGCAGGGTGATCAGCTGTGGACCTGGGTACACGTGGGGCTGACCCATATCTTGTCTGGCCCTCACAGTATGTGCACATTTGCTCCTTATTTCCATCTACCTATGACATCAGCATCTCTCTTAAACTACCGGTGCCTACTTATATGTAGGTCTCCCACTACTGTAACTCTAGACAAATTCGTGTAACCTCTTACTTGCAGAATAGGGATCCTGCTAGGAACTGCCATCGGGACTCCTGCTAAGGTTAAGTGGG